TTTTTACAGAGAGGAAGGGAGAAAGATAGAGAGCTAGAAATGTCGATGAGAGAGAGTCATCGATCAGCTGCCTCTTGCACACTCCCTATCGGGGATGTGCCCGGAACCAAGGTACATGCCCTTGACCGGAATTGAACCCGGGACCTTTCAGTCTGCAGGCCGACGCTCTATCCACTGAGCCAAACCGGTTTCATCTTACGAATCCTTTCTAACCTTCTCTCTCAACACTTTAATTGGAGGGTTTGCAACCCTCTAATTACTATGGAATTATTGTTTTTATTTCATGCTGTTACTCTTTCCAGAATCTGCTTTCTCTAGAATTTGGTTTTGCCGCCATGCTCAGATGTTGTCTGAGTTGTGTTACCTGATTCCAATGCTGCCCACCTGTCTTTCTTGCACCCTGTTCCCCTCTGGAGACCTTAATGGGGAGTCATTCCTCGGCTGGTAGGGAAGCTTCCCAACAGTGTACGTAGGTTGTTCACCTCTGAGTCCACACAATGCCAAGAATGACAGTTGTTTTCTGTTTTGTTTTTTCTTGTTTCCTCGTGTGAATGGCAGTAAATCTCTAATGTCTCCTGGGACTTAGTTCCTGAGGAAAAGTCTGCATTGTGTTGCCTGCGTGCTTCCAGATTGCTTAACCTGATGATTCAGTCAATTTTCCAGACATCCCCCCCCCCAATTCTAACTGGAAAACGGAAAGCCTCTCTGATCTGCCTGATCTTCACCTCCCCGCTCCCCATCAGCTGGCCAGTCCTGGAAACCTTTTCTTCATGCATGTCCTGGATGATGCTTTTATCCAAATCCTTCTGGTTTCTTCCCCCAAAAATAACTCCGATTCTTGGATTGGGTCTTCATTCGAGAGCCTTCAGTTCGGTCCCATCCGCCCTCTTCCCTCCTGTCTCTGTCTTCTTCCTTCAGAGAGAGCTTTGGAGTTGGTCCTCCACATCCCATGTTCTTTTTTTCTTTTTCTTTTTTTAAATTTTTATTGATTTTTTTACAGAGAGGAAGGGAGAGGGATAGAGAGCTAGAAACATCGATGAGAGAGAAACATCCATCAGCTGCCTCCTGCACACCCCCTACTGGGGATGTGCCCGCAACCCAGGTACATGCCCTTGACTGGCATTGAACCCGGGACCTTTCAGTCCGCAGGCCGACGCTCTATCCACTGAGCCAAACCGGCCAGGGTCACATCCCACGCTCTTGAAAGCTCAGTGCCCCCGATGTGGGCCTTCTTTTTTGCTGGAACAATGTTAGTTTCCTGGAGCCCCGTGCTTATGTGAGACAGACACGCTTCCTCTCACATCCCCTGGCCCGTCTCCATCGCAGAGACCACCCTGCGGCACCTGGGAGGCAGCCCAGGCATCTCCGGAGAGACTTGCTGGTCCTCATAAGAAACCTGCTTCTGCACCTCCGGGTGGTTTTCCTCTTTCCCAGTGCTGCACGTGGTTTCCAAGGCCTCATGAGGATCCCTCCCCTCACGTCCTCTCTCCCTTCCTCACCTTCCTCCACCTCCCTGCCGAGAAATTCATCTTGGAATTAGCGATCTGTCCGGAGCTGGCACAGGGCAGCAGGATTGCCTCAGGCAGCTCCTCTGCCCCTCAGGGTGCTGACTTCATTCTCTAACCAGAGAGCAGGGATTCTGGGCCTAGCAGGCTTCAGCCGATGCGGCAGGATGCAATCCTCATGAACCAGTCCCCTGACCCCCCAAACCAGTAGTTTGCGACCTTTAAAATCACAGATTCCGCCAAAAACGGTTTGGCTCAGTGGATAGAGCGTTGCTCTGCGGACTGAAGGGTCCTAGGTTCGATTCCGGTCAAGGGCCTGTACCTTGGTTGCGGGCACATCCCCAGTGGGGGGTGTGCAAGAGGCAGCTGATCGATGATTCTCTCTCATCGATGTTACTAACTCTCTATCCCTCTCTCTTCCTCTCTGTAAAAAAAAAAAAAAAAAAAAAAAAAAAAAAAAAATCAATAAAAAATATATTTTTTAAAAATCACAGATTCCTACCAGTCCCATTTTCTGAGCGTGCGCTCTCCCCCTGCCACATGTATGTTCGTCACCCATCACACCCACGTATGACTGGCCTACCTGCACATTAAAATATTGGCAGCACTGGTTTTTTAGGTAAAAGTAGCTGTAACTACGCGTTCCGATCATTCCCTCCCCTTCTGCGGTCCCCGCCCGTCCGCCTGGGAGCTCGTGCCTCCGACACAAGAGGCAGTGAGAAACGGCCGCCCTCAGCCCCTGGCTCTGGGGACTCTCTCACAGCCCTGCTGGGGGCTCACATCCCCCGTTCCGTGTGCTGCATCCCGTAGACGGTCTCCCTCCTGCTTCCCGGGCCGCGGAGGCCCTGCTGGCGGCGGGAGGAGCTTGTGGGAGGAGGGAGGCTCTGTGGTTGGCGCGGAGCTGAGTGTCTGAGGTGGAGGCCAAGGACAGAGGAAGGAAACCTCTTTTCGTGTCCCTTACGGCAGGGGCGGAGGGCCCCTGACTGTTTCTCTCCCGTTCCAGGGGCCAGGTCTCCAGGATCAGACTTCTCCTTCGCATGCGGGTAGTCAGGAAAGGATGAAAACTCATCACCGCCTTCCCAGAGACCCGGGGGCAGGCGAGAGAGCCGGAGACGGCCCCCGTGCGCAGATCCAAGCCCCCGCGGGGGACAGCCCCCGGGGAACCCGTGCCAGAGGCTGTGAGGCCGTTTACAAAGCGGGCTCAGCCACGTCACCGTGTCCGGGGAGGCCCCGCGGCTCCTCCAGGGGATACACACGCACCGGGAGCCGGCCGGCCTGTCCTCGGGGCGGGCCGGAGGGCGCTCCCGCACCTGCCGCCTCGGGGCCGGGCCGGGGAAGGTCCCCCCACCAGCGAGGCCGCTCCGTGTGACAGTGTTAAATGGGGAGGTTCCTCAGACGGGCTCTGGGCGGCCTGGGGGAGGCGGGCAGGCGGCCGGGAGGATCCGGAGCGCCCTGGCTGTCAGGCCTCGGAAGCCATGATGTAATGCCTCGCTGGGGTCCAAGCAAAACAAGCCTCTGTTGTCAGCGCCTTCCCAGCAACCAGCTGCTGCCCTCCCCGCGGCGGGCTGTTCTGGGTAATTGCGAAGTCCCCTCCCTTCCTGGAAGGAGGAACTGAGCAAAACCTTTATGATGGCATCAAAGCTGGCCCGAGAAATGTCTTTCAAAAGGCAACTCGCTGACACGGGATCTCCATGGCAACCTTCGGAGAGTGGGTACACAACGCGGCTGCAGGCTGAGGAAGGTGCACCGGCCCTGCCCGGTGCTGGCGGGAGCCGTCCTGGAACCCGCCGGGCTGCAATGTGACCTTGGGCGCGTCCTTTACCGCCTCCGAAGCCGAAGGGGACAGGATCATGATAGGATCAGGCTGAGAGGGATCGAGGTCATGTGGCCACATCACCCCCACACCCCAGTCCGATGTGCTGGTCCCCCAGAGCAGCCCCTCTTCCCGTCTCTGTCCGGCCTCGGGTTGGTAAGTTCCTGTCTCCAGGTTCCTGCCCATCTTGCTCATTCTCTGACATTGGGAAAGGACAAAGGTCATGGAAGCCTGACTCTAAAGGAACCTGCCTGGTCTTTTTAAGAGAAGCAGTACAAATGTATGCATTGACGAATTAGGGGTGACTACCAGGACCCATGCCAATCACACAGGAGGTCTGAGCAAGCCAACATAGCAAAAATGACTTCTCAAGTGAGTATATCTCCCTTTTATCTCAAGATCCTCACACTATTGAATAAAGACGGAATATGCAAATTGGCCATCACTCCTCAACAAAGACGGCGGCACCAACAGCCAATAAGGAGGGAATATGCAAATTGATGTGACAAAGATGGCGGCAGCCGGGTCAGGACGTTCCGCCCTGCCCGGCCTCTCCGGGCCTCTGGGCAGCGTGTGCATGCAGGCGCAGAGCGGCTGGGGCAGGACAGAACACCTGCTCTAGGGAGAGGGGAGGGGAGAGGGGGGAGGGAGCTACAGGAGAGCAGCAGGGCCAGAGCAAAGGCCGGGGTCCCGGGTGCTGGAGAGAAGCCGGTGCCGGCAGCCAGGGAAGGAAGGCCTAGTCTCGCAGCCAGAGATGCTATGTGACATTTCAAAGGACTTGCAACTACTTAGAAACAGGTTTCTAACCCCAGTAACAGATGCAACATGGGAACTCAGGTGAAAGCAAACACCCAGGGTCGGCCTGACACAGGGAGGGGCCACCAGGAGCCAGCACTCCCCGTGACCTCCGTGGCAGCCGCTCGGAAGGGCTGTTAGAGCCCTGATCTATCAGGCCTCATGCCCCTTCTCTCCCGCCACCTGCTCCCCTGCGCCCCTGCCCAGTCACCAGCCTCCTGAAAGCAGTGTTTCCCGCAGCGTGTCCCGCCAGGACAGGGCTTCTCCCACTGCACGGCGCGTCCAGATCACCCGGTGAACGGGTTAACATGCAGATTCCACTCAGTGCTTCTGAGGGGAGGCCTGAGACTCTGCATCCTCACAAGCTCCCAGGGCTGCCGCCGCCACCGTCGGTCTGGGGCCCAAACCTTTGCGTCGGGGACGCACCCACAGCGTCACACGTTGAAACAGGTTCCTGGGCAAATAACTTTTGAGACAACCTGAGCTACACAACATCAAACCAGTTTCCTGGCTGCAGGATGCCTCAGAGCCTTCAAAACGTGAGCACCCTCCCTCTCCGACGGGAAGAGATAAATTCGGAAGTGGCCGCGTGACACCCGAGAGAGGCTAAGGAAGCCACTGGAGCATGCCCGCCCACACACATTCTGGTTTGCAAAGAGGCAGCAGCGAATGCGTCCTACCGTCCATGCCTTTCCCCCCAGCTCACCTCGGCTGCAAGATTTCCACACGGCAGCTCGCATTCCGCCTGGCCAGGCCCTCCCCTTGCAGGTGTGTGGGCACCTGCCCATGTCTGTCCTCCCCCCCCCCCCCGGGCATACACATCCTGGCCCCCTGCCCCCCCGCCCCCCGCTGAGGGCTCCGTGCTGGGCGGGGAGCGCCCGGGTTACCTCTCGCAGACGCGCACGGTCCAGGCGGCGATGATCCACAGCGAGATGCTGAAGACCAGCAGCACGGTGCCGGGGCAGATGGTCATGAGCGTCTTCATGACGAAGCGCGTGTTGAAGTTGATCTTGTTGAGGGCGCCGATGCTGCGGGAGGACGCGTCGGTGAAGAGCTTGCTGTGCAGCAGCATGACGCGCGCGATCAGGTAGAGGCGCAGGAACATGGGGATGGACAGGATGATGTCCACGTCGGCCTCCGTCTGCGACGGCGCGTAGGAGAAGGCCAGGCGGGCCGTCCAGAAGAACTTGTACTCGCCGGGGATGGGGTGGATGGCGCACACCAGCATCTCCAGGCTGACGTAGAGGATGCGCTCGTAGGTCATGGCTATCCGCCAGTCGTCCGCGCCGTTGTCGATCACGAAGAGCTGGGGGGGGGGGGCGCGGAGAGCCCGTTAGTTAGTGCGGCCAAGGCAGAGAGAGACCCCCGGGGAGGGGGGGTGCGAGGGAGGATGGGGCAGCTGGTCCTCTCCGGAGCCCTCGCTTGGGGGGTGAGCACCCTGGACGGGGCGTGAGGAAACCTGGCTGAGAAATGCCTCCATTTACCGAAACCGGTTTGGCTCAGTGGATAGAGCATTGGTCTGCGGGCTGAAAGGTCCCAGGTTCGATTCTGGTCAAGGGCATGTACCTTGGTTGCGGGCACATCCCCAGTGGGGGGTGTGAAGGAGGATTCTCCAGGCACCCTGGAATTATAGCTATGGGCGTGTGACAGGTTTCCTCCCTCTCTCTCTCCCTCTCTCTTTCTCTCTCTCTCTGTCTCTCTCTCTTCTTCCCTCCCTCCCTCTCATCTGCTGGGCCCTTCTATCTGCACCTCCACCTCAGCCAGACCAGGTCTGAATGCTTCCCTTTCAGAGTTTCTCACAGCGCCCTGTGGGGGCCAACCCTGAAGGGCCTCCTGTCCGGTCACCTGCAGACAGGTCAGTTCAAGTGGGCGTTCGGGAGCCCACCGTGCGTTAGCTCCGGGGCCTGGGACAGGCCGCCCGGACCGGGAGATGGCTCTTCCGGAACCCCCAGTGCCACCTGATGGAGGCTGAGCCCAGACCCATCTGCCTGGCGCGTCCCGCAGAGGCACACGGGACGCCCGCCTCGCTCTCCTCCTCCCCCGTACATCGGTTTGGAGTTGATTCATTGGATCCCCTCGTCCCCCCTTCTCCCACCCCCCTCCCGTTTTGAAAGCCCGTGGCCTTTCGGGTTCTTTATGTAAGCAATTTCTTTAATTAAAATGTTCTTGGCTATTAGGGGAGATCCCGCTTAGACAATGTGACCAATCTGAAAAACTTTCATTCTTGTGCAGCTACGGATTTTTTTTTTTTTTTTAATTACAGGAGAGAAAATGGAAAAGGCCTTTGTGTTCTCTATTGTTCTCTCTCTGTGAGAGGAGGACTCCAGGGAGCATTTCCATCATTAATATACATGTCTGTGTGTGTGTGTGTGTGTGTGCAGAAGAAAATCAAAAGGAAAAAAAAAAAAGTTAAAGATTTTCTAGAAACCCAGTAACAATATATTTATTTTTTTCAAACTCCTGCATGTACACGATTACTACAGCGGTTCCCATGGAAACGACATCAAAAGTCCTGTAATACCTAATTAGGTTTCCCCGAGGACAGGAGCTGATTGCCAGTGATGCAACGAACTCCTGGGTGTGCAGCAATGGTTAGCGTGAGATTTCCAGTCAGCAAACGCGCCTGGGACCGGCTGAGGAAATGGGGAATGTGGAGAGAAGCAAAGGCAGAAAAAGGCCCTCTAAAAAAGACGATGATTCTATTGCTGTCACACAGAGAGATGATGATTCTTCCACTAAGGCTCAGAGACCCAGGGTCCAGGCTGGCCAGCTCTGTGACTTTCTAAACGTGCTTTTATTTTTTCAGATATTTTTGTATTGATTTCAGAGAGGAAGGGAGAGGGAGAGAGAGAGAGAGAGAGAAACATCAGTGATGGGAGAGAATCATGGATCAGCTGCCTCCTGCCCGCTGCACACTAGGTATTGCGGAACCCGGGAATCGAACCATGACTTCCTGGTACGTAGGTTGACCTATGCGAACCAAACCGTGTCACTCCCCTCCTGAGAGCCGTTCCGTGGCTCCCGGAGCATTCAGATCAAGTCCAACCTCCTGACGGTACTTGGCGGAAGGGCCATTTATCAGCAGCCCCTCCGTCACCTGCACCGCCCCCGGCATCTCGTGACAGCCAAGCCCGGCCACGCCTGACCCCGGACTCCTGTCCCTGGAGTGTGTATGAGCTGTTCTCTCTGCTCAGCTCCTTCGCAGGGAGCTCCTCGCTCTGGAAGATCCAGATCAAGCATCTCCCTTCACACATCGTAGCTGGCCTCTTCCCAGCCCCAGACAGGGCTGAGCTCTCCTTGGGGATTCCCTGTCCCTGCGCCATCACAGAGCCAGGGATTGCCTTTGTGGACGTGCATAGTGAGTGCCTGTGTGAGGGAAGGGGGCCAGCCGAAACCTGTTTGGCTCAGTGGATAGAGCATCGGCCTGTGGACCGAAGGGTCCCGGGTTCGATTCCGGTCAAGGGCATGTGCCTTAGTTGCAGGCACATCCGCAGTAGGGGGTGTGCAAGAGGCAGCTGCTTGATGATCCTGTCTCATCGATGTTTCTAACTCTCTATCCCTCTCCTTTCCTCTCTGTAAAAATCAATAAAATATACTTTAAAAAAAAAAAAAAGTGGTCGGATGGCCAGGAGGTCTGGAGTGCTAGCCCCGTTTCAGGGGAGGCGGGGAGGGAGCAGGTGGCCTCTCCATCAGACACGAGGGGGTGCCAGCCTCCCGGGTAGCAGGCCCTGCGCTGTATGCTTTGCAGGCATCGTCTCATTTGGCCTTAATGGGGGCTGTCAGGGGCGTATGTTATTCCCATTACACAGATAGAGAGACTGAGCCTCCAAGGGATCAAGTAGTTTGCTGAAGGCCATACAATGAGTAAGGGGCAGGCTCTGAAGCCAGGGAAGATTGTGTGTCAGAGTCCACGGTCCTGACCCCTATGTCCTGGTCCCAGGCTGTGCGAGGCGGCTTGCCCGCCTCAGGCCGGGCCGGGGGGTGTTTCCGGGTGTCGATGTGCCGTGGCAGGTCGGGCAGGTGTGGGCACCTGCTAAGTCTTAGGGGAGAAGAACTGTTTTCCCAACAGGAAGTGTCTGGCACGTCTTGACTTCGTTTTGACACGACGGGTCCTGCTGAGTGTGTGTGGGTTACCGTGTGGCCACTGGGGCTGCCAGACCCCTGCCCCTCTGGACCTCCAGCCTGCTTGCCGCTGCAGAGGGGTTCTAGAACTTTTGGCAACCAACATTAAGGAGGTTTCTGGATCTTGCAACAACCTGGGGTGTGAAGAGCCAGGTCCAGACCAGGTGTTAGTGGTGGGTGGGGACTATCGGCTGCTCTCCCGCTGACTAAAGCGGCCTTCAGCTCCTACTCAAGGACCAGCGGACACCCTCCGAGGAGCTCGGGCCCTCAGCAGAGGGGGCCCTGCAAACAGCTACATCAGCCCCCTGGCTGTTCCACCCGCGGCGTGGCCCAAAGCACCTTCTGTACACGAACCCTCCCTCGGTGGTCTCCCCGGCTTCCTGGATGGACCCACGTCCCCAGCACCGCACAGCAGGTGAGCGGTGGTAACAGGATGGACCCCAGAGCCCTCCCCACGCTCAGCTCTGACGCCTCTCGCACTCCCGGCCGAGGCAGGCCTGGCCCCGCTGCTTGCCGGGCCCAGGGCCGGGCGCCCACTCTCCCCTGGGGCACTTTGAAGAGACAACCTCCCCCAGTGCCTGCGCACATGGCGGCAAATAGTCTGAAAACGTGACACATTAAAGGGACAGAACTACATCGGCGTGACTGTCGAGAAGAACATTTCCATCGCTCGCCATTTCTATGGTTCTCCCAAGGCTGAGCCGTCTTTTGCAGCAGAGTCACAAGAGAGAGAGAGAGAGAGAGAAAGAAACCAAAGAATATCCAGAAGGAGCTGCTAATAGAACAGCTAAGAATCAAAGAAAACAAAGCACACCACCCTGGAAGCAACCTGAATACATGCACGCCGACAGAAAACGGTGGGCTAAATAACGGTACTCGCACGGAAAGACATTACTGGCTGGTTTTCAAAATGGAGTGGATCTATTTGCATTGACTTACAAAATGTTCAGGATATACACTGAGTGGCCAGATCAGTGTGATCATCATTAGAGGCCCAGTGCATAGATTCGTGCATGGGCGGCGGGGGGGGGGGGGGTGTCTGGTCAGCCTGGCCAGGAGGCCTGCTAGTCAAGGGGATAATTTGCATATTAGCCTTTTATTATATAGGATATACACTGAATGGCCAGATTACTATGCGTTCAGAGATCACACTAATCCAGCCACTCCGTGTATAGTAAGTAAAAAGAGAAAATTGCAGGATAATTGGTACAGTGTGATTTCCTCTTTTAAAACAAAACAAACACCAACATGTTAAGAAAACCCCTATCGAGCCGAGACCGGTTGGGCTCAATGGATAGAGCGTCGGCTTGGGGACTGAAGGGTCCCGGGTTCGATTCCGGTCAAGGGCATGTACTTTGGTTGCGGGCATATCCCCGGTAGGGGGTGTGCAAGAGGCAGCTGATCGATGACTCTCATGGATGTTTCTAACTCTCTATCTCTCTCCCTTCCTCTCTCTCCCTTCCTCTCTGTACAAAATCAATAAAAATATATTTTTTTTAAAAAAGAAAAAAAAGAAAACCCCTATCGATGTACACGTAGGTTCGGATGTTTTGGGGGGGACACGCACACATACAAAAGGGGGTGAAGCTTCCGGCTAATCACTAACCGGTGAGCGCCAGCACCTCTGGGGACGTGGGGGTGGGAATCAGGGAAGCTATTGATGAACGCCTTTCTGAAAAATTAGAACACATCTCTGTGCTACAACAAGCCCGTATTGCTTTTGTAATTTTGAAAAACCCAATGAAGTATTATTATTATTTTATTTTTTTCAAAAGAATTGTGCTGGGGAGAGCCTCTGTGGGACTTCACGGGGGCGGTTCAAACGCATTGTTTCTTGGAGGAACAATGATCCCCGAGGCCCCCGCCCACCCTGCAATTCTCCTGGCGGAGCCCCCAGCCTGCAGGAGGTGCCACCCTGGTTCTGTGAGCAGAGCCCGGCGGGGAGAGGCTAATCTCACAAGGCTCCCCGCCGCCACCACCCCCACCCAGGCCCCTGTCATTACCTGTTCCCTAGCCCTTCTGGAATACAGTTTGAATGCACAGAAATGGAACAAAAACGCTCATTTCAAGGCCCACCTCCCGTGCACTTACACGGCAGGCGGGGGAAGCGGGTTCAGCAGCAGGAGGCTCGCGGGGACTGGGCCACAGCATGCCCTGGGCAGAGCCAGGCACCCTGGGTTACCA